GAGGAGTACTGCACCGGAATGATTGTCCACAGCGTAAGGTGGTGTTGATGCACAACTCGCTCAAACTCACGGGCAGCTTGCGCCATTCGGAGAAAGCACCTACTGTCATGATGAAAGACAATTGACCTCGTCAAGCATCTTACAAGGTTTCCAAAAAAGTATTTTGAAACGAAGATCACTCCCAGACGCCTGTAGATACCGATACCGATTCTGCCGCCCACTGGGGGTCCGATAAAGAAGGCGGTCCCAGCCGCGCTAACCGTTTTAAGGCGCACCCGGGCGGCTGCCGCTTGCTTTGGTCGCCGCCAGCGAGTTTTCCCTTCCCCAGCGCCGCAGCTCGACCACTCTCCTTCATCAGAGAGACGTCCTTTGCTTTCCATCTTCTCGGTTGCGCTTGAGGTCGCACCTTTGGAACCTTACTTCTTGTCTCAGGTCTGCTTCTGGAGCTTGTTTGTTATTTCCAGCCGACACTTGCGATCCCAAGGACGAAGGGGGGAAAATAAAGGAAGTGAAACTATTCTATCTGCTGGAGTTGTTGTTCACAATGAACGGTGATACGTATTCTGCCAGACGTGAGTTTTATCCCGGACACTGTAACCCTTATTGTGGGCTCACATGCTAACATTGTTTATAAAGCGGAGGCGGGTCGCTCTAGGGATTACTACGTGAGTTTACTGACATGGATAATGTTTATCTCTTGTCCATCTGCAGCTAGCTAACCCGACCGACGATGTACAGCGCGAAGAGCGTCGCGAACGTGGTGGTGAAAGGCCGGAGAGACCGGAGAGATCGGACAGAGGGGACAGACCGGAGAGAGCAGAACGGGGCGAGCGAAGACGGTCCAGATCGCCCCATTACAGCTCTCGGGGCGGCTCCCGACGCGAGTTCGAGGCCGACTCGTACTCGTCCAGCCGCGACTACCGCGCCCGAGAACGCGAGGACCGCTACTCCAGCCGCAGAGAAGAGCGCGATTGGGATCGGGATCGAGGCGACCGCCGCCGCAGAGACTACGAAGACAGACCCTCTCGCCGCGAGAGGGACCGAGACCTGTTCGAGGAGAGACCCCGACGGGAGGGACGGGAACGGGGGGACCGTGAGCGTGGAGACCGTGCTGACCGCAGCGGTGGTGCTGGCGGCGGCGGCGATCGTGAGCGCGAGCGCGGCGGCGGCGACAGAAGGGAGCGCAAGAGGAGTGCTTCGCCTCCACGGAAGAGGGAGCCTACACCCGACCTGACGGATGTCCTGTCGGTCTTGGATCGCAAGCGCCGTCTGACGCAATGGGACATCAAGCCCCCCGGCTACGAGAACGTCACGGCCGAGCAGGCTAAGCTCTCAGGTAAGCACAACGGATACTGAGTCATGATCGATCGCAAAACTAATTTATATGCAGGCATGTTCCCTCTCCCTGGTGCACCGCGTCAACAGCCCATGGACCCCAGCCGTCTCCAAGCCTTCATGAACCAGCCCGCTGGCAGCAGCACCGAGACCTCCGCCCTCAAGCCAGCCAACTCCCGCCAGTCGAAACGTCTTTTCGTCTACAACCTGCCTCCCACCGTCACTGGGGAGGCGCTGCTAGCCTTCTTCAACCTCCAACTCAACGGCCTCAACGTTGTCGAGAGTGTGGACCCTTGTATCTCGGCCCAGGTGTCGACCGACCGCTCCTATGCTCTTCTTGAGTTCAAGACCCCCGGCGATGCCACGGTTGCCCTTGCGTTCGACGGAATCACGATGGAGGAGCACGAGGCTGCCGGCAATGGCGATGCCAACGGCTCGCCGCAGGGCCTGGAAGTGCGGCGACCCAAGGATTACATTGTTCCTAGCGGAGTCGAGCAGGAGTACCAGGAGGGAGTTTTGTTGAACGAGGTCCCTGACTCGCCCAACAAGATCTGCGTGTCGAATATCCCCAACTATATCCCCGAGGAACCGGTGACCATGCTTCTCAAGTCGTTCGGCGAGCTCAAGTCTTTCGTCCTGGTCAAGGACAGCTCCACAGAAGAGTCCAGGGTAAGTGTTTCTGCGAATGTGTGGTTATGCAGATCTGACCTTTTCAGGGAATCGCGTTCTGCGAGTACGCCGATCCTACCGCCACGAGCATCGCTGTGGAGGGGTTGAACGGGATGGAGTTGGGTGACCGACACCTGAAGGTGGTGCGTGCCAGTATCGGAATGACCCAGGCCGCCGGGTTGGACATGGGCGTCAATGCAATGTCCATGTTTGCCAAGACGACATCTCAGGATTTGGAGACTAGCCGTGTGCTGCAGCTGTTGAACATGGTGACTCCTGAGGAGCTTATTGACAACGACGACTACGAAGGTATGTTTTGGTTCCTGGTTCTAATGAGGGCTTGTGGCTAATCGCATGGTAGAAATCTGCGACGACGTGCGTGATGAGTGCTCGAAATACGGCCAGATCCTCGAGTTGAAGGTGCCCCGCCCCTCTGGAGGCAGCAGACAGTCCCCTGGAGTCGGCAAGATCTTCGTCAAGTTCGACACGGTGGAGTCGGCCACGAATGCTCTGAAGGCGCTTGCGGGCCGCAAGTTCTCTGACCGGACTGTCGTGACGACGTATTTCTCCGAGGTGAGCAGTCTTTTCTGGGACATGAATCGGAAAAAACTTGCTGACGAAGCTTTAGGAAAACTTCGATGTCAATGCTTGGTAATTGCACCGGTTGTTTTTGTACCGCGTCTTTCCTCAACTCTCTCTTCACGATGCTTCTTAATTGATTTTAGGCAAGTCATGCCCAACGCCCGAATTGGGGACAGCCGATGCTCAATACCTGTACTGGTTGTGGGAAAGGGGGGAGGGGGAGGATCTCTATAATAGTGGCTTTTTTCGACCTAGTACTGGGTTACGATGTATCATAGCGAGAAACGATTACTTGGATCTGATTGTGTGTAATCCTCTGTAGCTGAGATCCTGCTTTCCGCTGCGATAAAATATACTCGATTGCTATGCTGCTCCTTGATAAGGGAATTGTCAAAGTAATACATGCTCTGCTTGCCAGCTAGCCGAGCAGGACATATACTTTACTATTCAATACAGCCACCGATTAAAACCTGCTCAAGCAGTCATACGCAACCGTAACTCTAAACAGACGTATCACTACACGTTACACAAAGGTAGATAGGTAGTATACACGTATATCACCTGGATAAGGTGACTAAGTTGGCTCATGCTCTTGCATGAGGTAGATACACAGATTCAATATAAAATCTTATCAACGGTCCTCAAAGCGTTCCTTTGCGTGTTCAGTTCCTCATAGGGTATGCGCTGCGACTATATATTAAAGTATCGATTAATGGCAGTAATCCTGTCCTTGACCTTCATTTTACGTCCCATCGATGGTTGTATTCTTCTACGGAATATACCTAGATAATTGAATCGGGAAACAAGAATTAATGTGCTCGGTGCTATAATCAGGACGTATAATAGGAGGATAAATATATGTGTATACCCTTGATTCCCCAGCGACCTAATGAACACCCGAAGACCCCATTAGAACCTCCATCACAAACAGAGAAGTCCCAGGCCCGGGTCATATACCACATACCCAACGGGCGTCCAACGGCGTACTCCGTAGCCCGAACTCTATAACTTGTACAGATCACAGCACGCGATCCGCGGAGGAGCCCTAAACCACGAATGAGAAGATGAAAACCGCCTCTCCCATTGCTGAACTGTATGTACAGTAGTACGTAATATGACATAAGATTCCTTGACCTCACAGAGCAGAACACAGATTTTTTTTACCTAGTCCAAGGACGACTGCTGTACTGTTGTTATTGTGGCGAATCACAAGCCCCAGCCACCAGCACTATATCATACATCGGTAGACAGTCCGTCACCACTCAATCCAAAGGAAGACTTATCTAGTACAGTGTAATTTACCACAGACTCTACAAATTACCCCAGACCAAGACCAAGCCACACAGACAAAAACTTCCTTCCAGGAACAAAGTAATTCTCGGAGAATTATCGCTTACCTACCTACCCTAAGGAATCGAACCACCTCTCGTTACTACACCGATGAAACACCGTAAATCCAGCAAGCCAAGTCCCAACCCAAGCAAACACACTCTCACAAACAAGCAAAGCGTTCCCAACGCCCATGCATGCATGCATGCATGCGAGCTTGCGTCCGCATCTGCAACGGTGGTACGGTGCCCCATGTTCCCTACACCCTACACCAAGCACCCATACCCTGAACCAAATCAAATCAAGTCCGATAAAACCAGGCGACGGCGACAGCAGCGGGGGAATCTGGAACGCCCCCCCAAACTCAATCTAATTTCCACCGGAAGGGCCGAAGAGGGGGCTTCTCACGCAACGAAACTACAAAGCCAAGGATAAGCGAGCTGCGAGGTCAAAGGAATTGTTCCTGCGGCGCGCCGGGCGCGGGGGAAAGATACCCGTTAGCGTTAGTTAGCATTTAGTGCACCGGTTAGGCTACGGAGGAAATGGGGTGGGGATTTCCACCTGGCACACTCCTGTGTATGCTTTATTAAAGTTTGGGGGGCAGGGGATATTCGTTCGAGTCAGAGAATATGATGGATGATGGGAAGAAGGAACTTGGAAGGATTTCTGGGCCTGTTGTTTTTTTTTTGGGGCTTTTCCCCTCTTTCTCTTTGGCTTGGCTGGCTGGATGGTTGAATGGCTGGCTCGGGTAGTTCGGCGGCGTTGGCGTGGACGCGGTGTTTCGGACGTAGGGAATCTTACTTCTATTCTGGTTTTCTCGGGGAGTCGTCTTACTTCTTGATTGAAAGGGTAGGAGAGAATGTACAGCGTAGAAAGATGTGTTGAACAACATAGTATAGTATAGGTTAACAACCAAAGAATCATCCAGGGTATAGGTACAGCCGTGAAAAACATATGCAGTTCATACAAAATATACATCAGCACTTTTTCTTTTTCTCTTGACGCAATGCTCCGATGTTCACCCCAAAATTAACCCCCAGACAAATGCTCCATGCTCCATGCTCCATGCTTCAAACAAGTTAGCGTCACTGGGATCCATTACGTGGGTGTGCTTGCGCAAAGGTCGCTTGCGGATCCCACTCGCGCCCGTGGGCCTGCGACGCGCTCGGCGGCCGGGGCGACGAGAAACTCATCGTCGGGCTCACGTATCGCGCCTCTTGGCTGTAGCTGTCGTGCTCGGGGCTCCGGGCCCCCGAGGTGCGCGCCGGGCTGGGCGATCGAATCACCGGCTCCGGCGTCTTGAAGGCGGGCGGCGGCGCCCCGGAGCTGTCGAGCATCTCGTAGGCGCGCGAGTCCGGCGTGCGGCGGGCGTCCGCGGAGACGAACTCGTTGGGGTGCGAGACTTTCGTCTTGAAGAGGCTGGCCCATCCCAAAAACATCGACGGTCGCGCAAACAGAATGAAGTTCCAGAAGCCGACCAGCGACAACAGAATGAGCACCGCCAGGAGGGTGGCCTGGTTGGGCAGCACGTGCTTCACCTCGGAGAAACACTTCTGCTTGTCGCCCTCCGTGGCGACCAGGCATGCCACCCAAGGGAGGAACAGCTCGGCGTTGGCGGGCGTCATGGCCAGTTTGTTGTCCATCTTGATGAAGACCACCGCGAAGAAGATGACGTTACCGATGATGATCAGGATCAGGGTGACACTGCGCCACTGCAGCTGGATGACGCGGCGGACGCGGCGGTAGGCCTGCCGGGCGGTCATGGTGCGCACGCTGGCGCTGTAGGACGGCAGACCCGAGCTGTTGGTCGTGGGGTTCTTGTCGAAGACCGATTTCACGTAGACGTGGATACAGTACAGCATCGTGGCCAACTGCAGGACCAATGCTGCCGCAGAGAAGGCCACCACGGGAGCCCAGTAGTCCCGGTTGCTGTTGTGCACGTTGATATGACATGTCCCTCCGAATCGGTAGGACACCCCCGTCAAGCACAGCATGACAGTCAACCCGATAATCGGGATGCCCCAGCCAAAGATGAAGGCGCCCCACATGAACTTCGTCCCCAGCATGACCTCCCAACAAACCTGAAGGTGGAAAGCCAAAGTACGAATGAAACCTGCGCGATTGGGTTAATGCTGGAGCGGACAATTGACCGAGAAAAAGAAACACATACTCCACGACACGGCTACCCAGCCGCCGAACAGGAGTAACGAGCCAGTGAAAGCACACGCGACATCCGAGTACATATCGTTCGGCGTAATTGCATTGAAACACTGCTCCGGCTTAATCCCTAGAGGGATGATGAAAGCAATCTGCGAGGCCGGTCAACATCGTCCCGTTCCCGTAACTGCTCGCGTGCCTGCGCACTTACCTCGATGCAGCAGATTCCCAGTGTGAAACATATGCTCAGATAGTGACGATTCGTCCATTTCGCAGGCAGGACCGCATATGATACTAAGAGAAAGATACAAAGAGGCAGGATGGCAACCCCAAGCCAGCCGGCGGCCTGGGTTTGGTTGGTCATGTCTAGACAGCCCGTGCGTGATTAGCGATTGTTCCCTCATATCTTCGACAGATATGCATACCATCGCCGTATGTCCATGATGACAATGGGCACGGCAGGCAGCAAGAGACGTTGCCTTGAGCCGTGCTTAATGTTTCACAGTAACGTCCGTCAATGACTGAAGGGAAAGCACATCGTCAGCGTCGCACACGGGGATGGACCGGAGAAAAACATACATCCACCGGTCGACGGGAAAAATGACTCTTGGTAGAAAGGAGCCGGACATAATCCGTTTAGTGTCGTATTGCTCATGATGTGTGTGTAAGGGCCGATGTCAAGTATATTCGTCGATCTCAATGGAGGCAGGTGGTGGCGAGATTGTCATGTCCTTTGAGTGGGCGAGATTAATAGGGTTGCCAGCAACAGCGACTCCGGACGTGATACCCCTCCGCAAGAGATTCACAGCCGTGCATGCAGGGAGCACAGTCGATCGATAAGCATTAAGTCACTGCATGTGGACACCGGGCAGATCGAGAGAGAGTGTGTGTGCAAGTGGGAGCGAACGGACATGGAGGGGGGGGGGGGAAGGAGGGGGGAGACGATCAGATATACTACTTTCGATTAAACGATGCGCGCTGGGAGACTAGAGTATGGGACCGTCCCGGAGGTGCCACCAGGATCCAGAGATTCGGTTGGGGCACACCTCGAGTTGCCTCTTGCACATCTTGGTTACTCAGTTACTCATACTTTTTCGAAAAGGGTCCGTGTGGAAATCCCACTTTTCCAGTCGATTTCCCTCATTGCGCCGAGCTTAACCTCAGGGGCACGATGGAAAGGTGGAGTCAGTGCAGTGCAGTGCACCGACAGGCTTGCTGCGACAACGCCAGGGAAGGAAGTAAAGTTCCACGCTCCGTCGGGGATTCCAATCGACCGTCGAGGTGCATGAATATCGATGGAAGGAATTAGACGAAGAAAGGGACAGTCTAGCCATTCATTAGTAGTATCGGTAGGGCACAGCACAGCCTGGTAAAGCGGGGGTTTTTTTCGAGGAGAGAGCGAGACTTCGAGAGAGCGCGAGAGGGTAAGATGCCATCGGCGGACAACAATGTGTCAAGGAGCCCTAAGCCCGGTTGGGTTAATTCACCTGCAGCCTTCTGCATGGGTATAAACCAATGCTCTGCATTATTGGGCAGGCCAAGTGTCGACACGACCCACCGACACCCAAGGATCGGAAACAGAACGTGGGCTGTACCTCATGGGTACATGACTGACGGTCATCAATACCTTGCTCTTACGTAGTATGGTACATAAGTATGGTACATGGCTGCTAGCGAGTTTCACGCTGTGCGTGAGACTTTGAGACTCAAAGAACCCAAGAACCTCATCCCAAATGGTTAACTCCAATTTTCGGCCTCTTCCTAAAAGAGTCTTCCCATCCCGTTTGTAGTGGCAACCTGAAGCAGGGTTTCCCTCGCCATCTGACGCGCCTGGACGGGTTTCTCTTCCCCGAACAATTCTATTATGTAGTGTGACCACCAGCCTTGTCCATTCCATGGATCGATCCCCTTATCATCAGTAATCGGGATTAGTACGTAATCGGCTCCCTCCTTGGGATGTAACCTTGGGGTAATATTCAGGTTCTCGCTACATTCCCGAGCCAGAGAAAGGTTGCCGACCAGGTGTCAATTCACCTTGGTTGGCTAAGTTTGACGAGCATTACAGGGCACAAGTGACAAGACAGCAGACAGCACTGGCAGGCAGGCAGACGAGCAAACAATAGGTAAGAACAGTCGACTGTACCGTACGACTCAGTTGCCTCCGACTAACCAGGTAAGTGACCACCTCACGACCGACCGCGTACCTTACAGACCTCCTCGTATGCGGGCAGGGGTTGTCAGCATTATGGCTGCATGGCTGCATGGCTGCATGGCAATAAACTTTGAGCTGGAGTAGAACTAACCCGGGAATGGAAGCCTTTCCTCCCGCTAACGCAACCACTTCCCATGATAGGAGGAGCTGATCAACCATCCTGGTCGGGTCGCTCGGTCAGATTGAAATGTGCGGCCTGAGTTGTTTTGACTTTTTATTGCCCCTGTGCACCCTAACTCTAAAGAGATGGTGGCCGCTGTCAGGTTAGCATGCGGGCTTCTACCGAGCATTACATTGCGCACTACAACATGTTTGGAGCGATCTTTTGGCCGACAATAAGACAATAATCTAGCATCGTTAGCAGTTCTACGAGATGTTTGTTCTATTGAAAAAGCTAGGCTGCAAGAACATGTACACGTACACGTACCGGTACCGTACAAAGTATTTTCGTCAATAGGAGCCTAAATAAGTAAGATGTGTGACACTAGCCTGGACCCAGTCTCCCTCTTGCAGTCTAATATTAATGGATATTAATGGCTCTATGCTCGCTAATCTCCTCCTCCCACATTGTCGAATCTAGATCTTTCCCCATCACGATGTGCATTGACCATTGTTGACTGACAAGGCTTCTCGCGTTCGACTCTGCAGCAACATGCTTGCCTTCGCGATGTACTCCTCCTACGTAATCATCCAAGGCAGTCCCGTAAAAATGGAGCCCATTGAATTTCGCAGTGCGAGGCAAGGGGCAAATCACTTGAAGTGTTGACTGCTTACTGCTACTGCTGGCTCAGCTGTAAGCGTGCGTAGGATGTCTATCTTCGCTGCTCGGTACTGGCCGCGTCTAATACCTGCCGCGCTGCTGCTGATCGACACTGAACTCGGAGGGAGTTTCCACGGTACGAACCTTCAACCCTCAACATCGTGTTTCCTTTTTCGTTCCGGCAACGGAGGTCAGTCCTGGCCTTTTAGCTTGAATGAGCTTTTGCGCGATTGAGTATTGATTGACAGAGCCACTTCACGGTCTTGGTGCAGATAGTGGAGGCAAATAGCTGACGATCATCTTCAAAGTGTTGATTCTGTTGAGAACCCGGTAGATGGACCTGCGGATGAATAGGATTTTTTTGAGTTTTGAGTTTTGTGCCGAAGCTCGCGATAGAACAATTGAGTAACCTTATTATTACTGTCTTGTTGTCGTCAGCAACCCATTTTCTTTCCACCCACGGTTTCACGGCATTTCATGCTGCCCGTCACCTCGTGCGGTCCCTGTTTTGGTGGTGTTTCTTGTCGCATCCTTGCCAGTTTGCGACTTTGCTAGTTTAGGGGCACTGCGACAGTAGAGTCACGCATCAAGCGATAGTGTCATTGCACTATGTCTTTCAGAGCACGTCCGGCTTTGGACCTGACACGTAAACTGTCGCAGTCGTTAGGCACTACGGAGTACCTACCTACCAACCTGGGGAGTACGACTATATTTGGCGACCAGCGACGGATGCCTATGTCTTCGACACTGACCACCTTCCATCGCCAATTCCACCTCCACATCCGCATTCCATCCACATCCAATTTCCTTCCCGCGTGGTTAAGGTTAAAAACATGTCCACAATTCATCGCCAACCGAGAAAAACCAGCTAAATGTGTCGTCATCCCGGGCAGCGCTCGCAGTCTTCCCGTTCGGCTATGAGCCTGTGGCACACGCTAAACGCCCTTGACGCCCGTTCGTGGAAGTTTCCATCGAAGCTCGCATTGAGGTTATCGATTAATCTTGCCGACGGGATCTTGATTCTCCCTTACCCCTTTTTCCAGTTCCTCTTCATCATATTGACATTACTCCTACACTTGACATATCCGCGCTAGTTAGGCTGCTACTACGGAGTATTCTATTTATCCTTTCCCGGACTTGTAAGGTTCTGCTTGGAAACAGGCAGATCTCGTTGCCTTTTGTCTACGATATGCGCCAGTTGCAGCTACTAGTATACGGCTCCCGGGACGCTAATGGATCTGCAACTACCTGAAAAGACAAGACTTTGAGAAGCAAAGATGATCACCATCTGCAAAAACGCAAAAACTGCAATAGTAGTCTGGCAGTGTCACTACTACTGATGGGATTTCACGCGCTGAGGCATATCTTGCAGTTGGAGAACGCAGCAGGTACCGGAGTAGAGTGTGGATGGAGGAAGACAAAACACACAGGATCATCCCGAGCATTTGGATTCGCCATCAGGAGCGAGTTCCTCGTATTCGGAGATTCTTATTCTTGACAAACTTCTGACTGAGCCTGTTATGCCTGTGTAACAACCCAGGATTCACCAAGAACCCTAAAGGATGCAAATTTAATGCCAATGATCCTGCTAAGGCTCAAATCCAGAGTAAGAACTATAGCACGTTGGCCAGGTACGGTACTGTACATACAGTACAGGGTGCATGGTGAATTGAAAGGAATGCATTTCTATTCCCTTCCCCGCTGCTTACATCTCTTTTATGATACGTATTTACGGAGACAATGAAGCCACCAGAGCAGTGGACGACAGTCTAATAAGAATACGCGGGGGGAGGCAAAAACGGGCCTATTCTCGGCCAGCAAGGGTGTCTCGCAGGATTTCTCGCTATTGTCAATATCGAATCCCACCGCCTAATTCTCGTCTACGACCACTTTCCGACTGACATCTCTCGTGCTCAATTGGCCACCTTCACCCCTACCAAGGGATTGCGTACGTCAATGTCACTTGACCATCGTTGTCCAAACGAGGGGGAGTGACATGACAGGAAAATGATTTAGCAGCCAGCTTCGCAACCTGGGGCGATCATGCGACAAGAGCACGAAGAGTTGATGCCAACGACGAGGGACAGGAAAGGGAGCCTTCGCCTGTGCGTCCGTCCCTCTGAAAATCGCCCAGCAAATCCAGTGTTTCCTCCAGCATTCAAACGGTCAATTGGCTTCCCATGCAAACCAATCAGTGAGGGAGAGTCTGGGCTTTGCGTGATGGCGGCAGGAACGGGGCTCGACGACAGGGCAAACCCCGGCTACTCATAGGCTCCGTCTCAAACGTGCGTGCGTGCGCCCGCGGGTCTCGGACTCCCAAGATCTCACTTTCTCCGATCTCACTCTCGGTGCGATAGTGCAGTGCTATAATGCTATAGTGCTATATCATTCT